GTTAAAATGCATTCTAAGCTATGTAATAAAAAAGAACGTGGAATTAGTTCAATTGGTTTAAACACTTTCGCATTAATTAACCACGTCTTGTTGATTGTACACAATACTGTCAATAGGAATTGTCAAATTCCAGCCATAAGTTCGCGGCTAATTTGAATTTCAAAGGTGTCAGTTTTTTTTTACTCACCCTGTATAGTGATTAATTACCTTTAATCCATTAATAACTACCCAGCTATTATCAGGAAAACCCATGAGCCGCGGAATTAGGAACTGAACACAACCATTCCAATGGGACAACAGCAACATACAACCAATCAATTTAATGATCCGCATTTGGCCGCTTTGAATGTTTAGCAACTAGATTTGAGAATGAAATTTGTTAAGGCTATAGGAAGACAGATTGTCTTCGCGTGTGTGTAAGACCGCACTATACTGTATATGCATGGTGAGCCCCTCCAAGAAACCATTAAATATTTTAGACATTGGCTCGCTTGCGATTTTTGCTGAATATAGGACTTTTATCATTTTCTGTCAGTGGATATATTTATCGTTTTAAAATCTATTTTGTGCATTTTAAAAAGCCATTTTGTGCATGGTTGTCGGAGTATTGTAAAAGGGAATAATATGCGAATGCCATTATTTTATTGTTCACTTTATATCATTTTTTCAAAACCAATATAGCCAACAAAACAAACCATACCTCCTCGAGTTCTTTTATATACCTCACAATACGAGATACCCTGAGGAGTTTTAAAAGGCTAAGCAACTTGGTCAGCTTTAGGATGCGCAGGATTCTGGATGCTTGAAGTATCCCGCTATCTGCACTCCCGGCCGAACTCGACGAGGCAATGATATAAACATAATCAAAAGGAAGGGAGGACAGACAATCTATAACAAACCAGCCGCGGAGATATCGTTGACGAATAACCTTCTTATCCAGAATAACCTCTTCCTGTCGATCGAAATCAATGACGCCCGTTTTGAAGTTCAGGAGGATATCAAGTATGAACACTGCATCAGACACGCAGTTGAGTGCAAGCCATCCTGGCGATAAGTCTTGGTCGACGAAGGCAATGCTGACAGGCAAAAGAAGCACATGGGTTGTAATTAATATTACCATAATTATATCCCAATACCAGCGGAATGTGCTGAACGGTGAATAACACCGTCGCCCTTCTGTGCTTGGCGCCTCTGCTCCATAACCACGGCGGCTTTGTTGCCGTAGAGTTTTAAGGCGAGCTTATTATCGGTGCTCACTTTAAACATGTTCTTGGCCCGGGCGCTGCTGCTAGAAAACCAGTTCGTCCCAGTTTCACTCAAGCCTACGTCCATCATTTTTTCCGTCTTCACCACGAAATCTTCCAATGTCTGGCGTTTTTCCGTGGCTCTGTTGCTTGGTTTCTCCTTGGAAATATTGTTTTCGTCTGCAATACAACAGTATAAACATTATGGTATAATTTGGTATTTACATGTACGTGACAGTTTTATGAACCGAAAATTGAGGCGAGTGTACATCTATAATTACTGCATGATTATTAATAATTTATATATATATATATATATATATATATATATATATATATATATATATATATATATATATATATATATATATATATATATATATATATACACCTATTTGCAAAAACGTTGGCCGCAAATAGATAGATAGATAGATACTCGAAGTCTAATTAGAATTGTATATGAATACATTTGCATGGGATTTCAATCATATTACACAACATATGCAATTCTAATTAGATTTCGGGTATCTATCTATATATCTATTTGCGGCCAACGTTTTTGCAAACGGGTGTATATATATATATATATATATATATATATATATATATATATATATATATATATATATATATATATATATATATATATATACAGTCGTTATCAAAAAGGATGTCCCGATCAATACATATAGAAATATATAAATATCAATCACGTGACCATTAAACATGGCTTATTTTGACACTTATCACTTGTTTCTTTATTATTACAATATTGTTCACCTTACTATGACATTTCCGAAATTTTTACGACAGATTTCCAACAATTTCTCAAAAATTAACGTATGTAGTAAAATCACGTGACCGATATTTACGTATTTATATATATTTCCATATGACAACCTTTTTGATAACGACTGTATATATATATATATATATATATATATATATATATATATATATATATATATATATATATATATATATATATATATATATTAATCATATATATTAATCATATATATATAAGAACTGTGGCCTTAACTACAGGGTGTATCAAAAAAAAGGAGACCTTTAGAAATCAAGCTATTGTTAAAATTTGAATGCTTTTTCAATTGCTTTTGCACATATGCTAAACCGTAGTGCGTGAAATATTGATGGCATGCATGCATACATTAGAAAAAGGAGACCTTTAGAAAATGAATTGACGTTTGTACACAAGATTGTCTTCTGCTCCTGGGAATTTGAAAATAACTTTAATAGCATAAGGAACACAGATTCACTTGACATTTCGATCCGGATTGAAAATTACTGATAAATTGAACATCAAAAAAACTGAATGTCATGGACCATGACCTCCAACGTGGCCTCCATTTCTCTCAACACAAACTACCGTACGCTTGTGCATATCGCGAACTGCTTTTCTGATGACGGCAGGCTGGGTATAAGTTAAGACTACAAAAACTCTTTGCTCCGAAGTCAGTTGAACCATTTTTGTTCTGGTAGTGTGCTTAGTCATTTGAATATTTTTGGGTCGTTATTTTTCCTTATGCTATTAAAGTTATTTTCAAATTCCCAGGAGCAGACAATCTTGTGTCAATTCATTTTCTAATGTATGCATGCATGCCATCAATATTTAGCGCACTACGGTTCAGCATTTGTGCAAATGCAATTGAAAAGGCATTCAAATTTTAACAATAGCTTGATTTCTAAAGGTCTCCTTTTTTTTGATACACCCTGTATACAGTACAGGTGTCCCAAAAAAACCCGAAAACTATTGAAATCACTCATTGTTAAAATTTGAATGCCGTGTTAACGAATTTCAGCCCGTGGGGATTTAATGCAACTTATAAAATGCTAAATGCTTTGTGTTGCTAGAGAAAGGGGACATGTCGAAGGTCATGGTCCTTGAGATGCACATTTAAATAATGTTATCCATATTTGTAAATTGTAAATATTGTTAATAAATATCATTTTTGCGAACAAGCAAATTTTACTGCATCATATATGCTTGCGTAAAAATGAGTATGGTAAACATTTATACACCTGTGGGTCCCAACAGAGTGCTTAGGCATTCAAACTCTAACAATTGCATTGTTATGTGTGATTTCAATAGTTTTCGTTTTTTTTGGGACACCCTGTACAGGGTGAGTAAAAAAACCTGACACCTTTGAAATTCAAATTAGCTGCAATGTTTCTGTAATAGGCTGTAATGAGACAGAAGTTGCCTAAAATATACGAAGCATATCAAGTAAGTGAACCCATTAACTAAGTAGAGCATAAAGTTTTTCCCTTTGGGAGTTAAAATGCATTCTAAGCTCTTCCGTTAAAAAGAGCGTGGAATTAGTTCAATTGGTTTAAACACTTTCGCATTAATTAACCACGTCTTGTTGATTGTACACAATGGGAATTGTCAAATTCCAGCCATAAGTTCGCGGCTAATTTGAATTTCAAAGGTGTCAGTTTTTTTTATTCACCCTGTATAACGATACACGGTCCAGCTTGACTTTAAAGCCGCTCTTTTAAGATAGGAACAAATGAAATTGCAAATATAGTTATAATGATAAAACTGAATCGTATGTATAAAAAAGCCATCGACCGATTTAAATACGATGTAAATTAGCCAAAAAATAGTTCCACAAATTTGCACGAAAAAGAGAATTTGCATAACAAAGATAACATTTTCTTCTTCTTTCCAATCTGCCACGAACCCATGTTCCTGATTTGGTTTAAAATTAGCTAAACGAAGGTCTGTGTCTTTGAAGAGCACCAGGCCTTTAGAAGTAAGTAATAAAGAATCATTCAAACCTGCCGAGACTGATTTCCTTTTTCGTGTTTCCATGCTGCGAACCGTTTCGGCCGCAAGTTCCTGTTTTTCAGACAACTCGTAGTTCAATAACTGCACCTCAGAAAGCCTGATGGCGGCGCTAGAGCAGCTGCATGGCATAATCAGTTGACATTTCGTGCAACGAAGATTACCATCGACATGTACACGTTGGTCAGGAAGAACTTTTACTGGGACAGACACAGGAGCCACTTTTCCATTCATTGTTAGTATTTTTTTAGTATTTTTTTATTACTTATCTTTCCATAATATTAATTCTGTATAAATTGAGGGGCACTGTTATTCCACCTCAATGTGAGAACGCCAAGTGAGCGTGCGAAGCTGTTTTTCGTCAAAGGTCGCGTGACGTCACAATTATTCAATTTTTTTACCATTGATGATGTAATTCAAACAAGTGCGTTCTTCATACGCGTGGGTCTTGCCATAGCTTCCAGCACGTGCTCCCAGTCATTTACTCAATATGTTTTACGGTAAACTGTGTACCAAAACCTGAATCAGGGATGAAAATTCTGATGACACCATGCATTGACATTGTTGGTATGGCTCGATCGTAATGCTGAACGACGCACAATACACAAAAAACAGGCCTATGGTTTGCTTGGCTGCTTTTATTTTCTCCTGCCCCACAGTTCAATTCACTCCCATGCCGAACCGATAAAATCAAGTTTAAAGCAAGTTTGAGAACAATCTCAATAAAACGATACCTTGTTTACCTTGATACTAGATTACTAAATATTCACAATCAAGCCAGAAGGTGGCCTGGGTTTTTGCATGTCAAACAAAACTCCGAATTACCAGTAATGGCAGTAAGAAAGAGGATATGGAAAATATAGAGCGACAGATTGTATGTTACACAGTCTAATACGTAATTCCTCCCTATAATTTGTCTTATTTCACACATACTCACATAAATGTATATAGAATTTAAACTTTATTTTAACACATTCATAGATACATCATTAATTTTTAGGTATAAAATTGTCGTGAGTCTGAACATATTAAATAGAAATATACAAACAGAGAAAATGTTCGCAAACTTTAACCACCGGTAACAGCATGAATGGCGAACCTTCTATTGTTCAACTCGTTCGCCGGCGTTGATCATTTGGGCAAACTTGGAGGCAATTAAGGATATTGTATTTCGCCGTAATTAAGCCATTGTTTTCACTGCTTTTGAACATTTTGCCATCGTCTGAGAGGCACGACTGATGGGGTCGGTCATGTAGAAATCTTCCAAATTTAGGATAGGAGGAATAAGAGCTTTATCTGATGGTTTATTACCCTAGGAACAAGCACAAAGCGATCAGGTCCAAAGCAACGTTTCTGAACTGTATTTTGCACGGCAGGAGTTCCGAAAAATGCAACCTCGGACCCTATTGCAGGGGTCCGATCCGCTCCGCAAATGACCGAAATTCCGTTTGGCTTCACAGGGTCTATTGATTAAAGATCAAAATGTACCTTTAGTAGTTCTTTAGTGAGTGAAAAATAGTTTGCCTCTTCCACATCGCCATATCGGGTGAGGTTCGGAGCAACTTCGGTCATTCGACTTCGCATATCATTTAGTGTGTCATACGGTAATGGATCTCCACATATCTGGCAAAAGAATTTCTAAGGTTACCCACTTCCTAGAGTAAAGTTTTTCAAGTCAAAGCTTGAAAATAAAACACATCTTAAAATTTGGGCAGAATAAAATGTGTACCTCACCTCTGAAAGTGCTCTTATTATCTTCCAGTCATCTCTGGCAAGACCAGGAGGAGATACAGCACGCCTTAAATGTAATAGAGAAACAGATAAATGGGATCGTACTAACTAGAGTATCGCGTCCCGCGATACTTCCAAGGTCCGGGGTTGTATAAAACACTCAGCCGTGCATGCTCTGACCTAAACCAATTTTGGCGGATTTAATTGGGGGCCGAAACTGGCTTACCCCATGACAGGGTTAGCACTAACAAGCGGCCATGCAGAGTTAAAAGTGTTTTTAAAGATACCTTAGCGCAAGATATTGTTTACAAATTATAGTCTGTACTGGGATATTATTGGTGAGAGAAATACCACAAGGGAATGCCATTTATTACCTTGTTTGCTGCGCCCTTCCTTCAGTATTCACATATGTTGCCACCTTTTCAGTGTAGGCGGCAGCCGGTAATATAACGTCAGCCATATGCGCACCGTGATCACCATGATGACCTGTTAAAGTTTGATATAAATTAAAAGAACAAAATATCATTAATTTTGGTTTTCAGTTTAATATAGTGCCATACAACCACACCTTACAAATTGTATGGCATAAATGATGGGATTATATAAAGAGTATATAAGCGAATTTCAAACATGTAGTCAGCATGTGGGATGGTTTTTAAGAAAGTTTGGTAAAGTACAATATACCGAGATTTACCTTGATACACGACGAAACAATCTTTAGGTAACCTATCTGTATTTACTGTACCGATATCCTATATATTAATAAAAACAATATCCTAAAATTGGTGCGAAGGTTAATAATAATGTTTCACTACACTCATATTGCATATTACATACGATGGGCAAAAGTTTATAAGACAGCATGCTGTACATGAGTATATTTTTCACAGTTGCTAAGAATTGTGGACTGTTGTAAGAGGTAACAACAGTGTGAATTGCTGTAAGAGGTAGCGACCGGGTCGAGT